CCTTTTAGTTTCCAACTTTATTTCACTTGCAATCGCCCCAATGACTTCAACTTTTCTCGAAAAGTCACACTTCTAATAAGCTTATTGGTTATATTTAGTTCATAACCCTTAGTTGAACAAACCATTCAATCAGACCCTTACGTAACCCACGTTGATCGTCAATTCACATTTTTGTAATAACTAAATGTGGTGCTTACAACCTCATTATCCATTATTTACATTACCGTACGAAGGATTCGAAAAAAAGTAACTTAAGGACTCTGTAGACTTCAAGGTCAAACGTGAAATGACTGACCAACAAATGAAACCAATAAAGATAGAACCTACAAATGATTTACATCACATCAAGGCCTACCGAACCTAAGTGGTAAGAAGACAGTATCCAATTGTATAAATCTGACTTGTAAGCTTCTAAATTTCAAACATTTTTAAACGCTATTTTACCATAACAAGGGAAAATGTAATACTACTGCAGTGAGCATTACTCATAAGAATGGATATAAGTAGGATATGTTGAGAGGGAGGCACAAATCACAGGCAATTACCAGCAATGGGTTAAGATTCTCTCCACAGAAACGCAAAACACAATGTGTGGGCGTATTAAGAGCAAATCGAGATAGAAGTAGAAGAGGAAATGAAGCACATTGTGCAAATGACTCTTTAAGTAGAAAGTGTACGATATATCATCACTACTGTACCAGATGTCAATAATAAACATTCCTTCCCGTGTCTCAGTCTTCCCGTTTCCTTCACAATCACTTCTACAATAATGGTAAATAACCAATCGCAATGTACGCATATATTTAACAGGATAATCCACCAAGTAATGAACGAATGAGGCCGCCATCTACTAGACTCTAAACCAACTTCGTAGTAATCTTAAGGATTGAAACTGCATTTGATGTCTTCAGAGCCTACATATTCCGTAATCAACAACGTGTTAATACTGAGGTTCTTAGCTTAAAACTATAAGCATTGCACTGCAACAGAAAAAATCTAAAAGTTCCACTACGGAGATCACCTAGAGAACAACTGTTATCAATCGAATAGACCACATAAGTCCAGACAAACAGAGACAGAAGCAAGGTGGAACCTTGCAAACAATCGCATCGATTCAAGTGGCCACACCTCACAGTAGTACACAAAAAATAGGTAGATAGAAAAAAAGTGATATTTAAAGCATCACAGCTGTATGAGAAACAGAGCAATACGAAGAATAAAGTCAGTCAGAATATTCAAGCTTCAGAAGATGTCAAGAAGTGAATACATCTGGGCTATTGTCACTGATTTCCACCCATTACACCGGAAATCCACAGTCATGCATTCCTTTCATCTCCAGGACCACAACCACGAGGTCTACATAGCCCCCACACAACCCAGACTAACAATCAGGGACTTCATCAACTACTGCCACATCTAGATCTGACCAACCTGAACACCTCTTACAACCTAATCCATCTCCACCTAGCACAGAACTCGAGGTAGGCGGCAGTGGCACCTCATGCACAGTATACGCCTAAACCATCTCAGTCGACTGAGGTTCACAACCCATCAACCAACGTGCTTGTCTTGCCTAGTACTCTTCGCCCAACCTCAACATTGCTAACACGGTAATTCCACACAACGTGAGCAATGATACAAAACGTTGTCATCAAAACCCTGAAACCGATTCATGTAGACTTTTAACAGGCATCTCATAGTCCATACAACACGACAGAACGGATAGCAACGAGATATACACGTCCTCTGATAGATAGTCGAATATTCGATGGTTGGTGCCACACATAATGTGCAAGCTAACAAATGCCGAACGAGCCTTCTTCATCCGAGGTGAGATCCCGTCAGCAACCATCCCATTCAGACTGATGTAACTCCCCAAGTAAGTGAAGTCGTCAACACATTCCACCACTTCACTCCCAACCATTCAACTGGAATACCTGAAGATCAGTCCTAGAGAGTATCTTGCATCTGACACGTGCGAGCAAAACGCATGCCAAACATATTCACATTTCCACTCAACATATCCACAAAACCTGCGTTTCATCAGCATCCAGCAGGACCTAGCAGGACAGACAACATCATCTGCATATTCCAAGCTAATTAGATGACCTCAAGGGAATAGGTCAATCCATGTAAAATCAAACTTACCTAAGGTTATGTCCATTACTACATCTATAGCGAAGTTTAATAATAGGAGTGGTGACAGTGGCATCCCTGTGGGACACTACTAGTTGTCGTCAATCCACTTGTGGACTCTCCATAAACCCTTACATAGTTGCATGAGTTCGAGTAGAAAGCCTTGACAAGCTCCACATGCTCGTTCCATAATGTCTTCACCTCACGGTAAACTCAGTCAAATCCAACCTGCCTTCAGGTCGAGGATATGGCAAGTGTTGGTCGCCAGTAAGAATGCCTGTTCCACAACCTGTCGGAGGGTGAAAACATAATTGATGAACAGCCCCCACCATCATCATCATCACCACCACCACCACCACCACCTTCCTGGTCTGAAACCTGTCTGGTTCCCTCGAGTCTGCTGTTCTCGATCTCCGCTCACGTCTCAGGTAGCTGTGTATCCAAGGATCTTGGACACAATATTAGTCCAACTGATTATCCTATGATGTCACAAGATTCTTATAGATTTCTTATAGACTCGAATGATCAGTGAAGTAGACCAGTCTGACGGCACTACCTCTCATTCCCATACACTACCTAATACTACCGTCACTTTAATTAGCGATTTCCTACTTTCCTCTCTAAACAATTCAGCTGGCAAACTGTTAGGTCATGCTATCTTACATCGTTTCTTCTTCCATATAGCCTTCTCAACTTCGAGGAGGGTTGCAGGTCAGACATCTACATCCCACTCAAATTCAGATTCGATGTTGGCCAACTAGAGAGTTACTGTGGCCCATTCGAATTGTGCTCCAAAGTGTTCCACCCAACATTCTAGCCGCCTGTCCTCAAATGGAGGTTATTAACATTTCTTCCTGTGCAGTGATGGTTTCACCAACCATCGTCTTGTTTTTCCCAAATCCTTAATATGAATAGGTGGTTGCCGGGTGTTACCCAACTCTGATGTCTTCTCCATCTCTCTCGTTTCCGTCACCCGACACTGCTTGCGATCATTACGAGAATTCTTAGTCAACTTACCTTCGTATTGCTTTCGCTCTTCATCATGGTCACAGCCAGTTTGAATCAGTTCGGATCACGTCACGGAAGTCCACTGACTTTTGTTAACCTTCTGGTGCAGGTTACCAACTGTTTTTAACACTGTTTCTACAACATACTCACTATGATGATGCCAGGTTTCCTCAGGATGAGCATCGCTGTCACCTTCGAATATGTGCTTAGCTAACTCGTCTCCAAATGTGTACTTGGGGTTCTCATCTTCCAATCGAGAATAAATAGGCTTTATTGTTGCTTGTTTCGTGTAACCAGTAAGACAGAGACAGACACGTGCCCGTACCAACGTGTGATCGAAGTCAAAATAGGTACCATAGAAAGAGCGCCAATCTTCCACCGATCCTCTTCATTGATAGCCTACAGTAATTTGATCTATCTGTGTCCATTGTTGGTCTGATGTCGGCGGACGCCGTGTGAGACAGTCTCTTTTCCTTATGCTTGAAATTGGTGCTATGCGGAAACAAGTTGTTGACGGAACAAAATCGCAGCAGACGGTCACCGTTGTCGGTTCGTTGGCATGGAATTCCGTAAATACCTCCGAGATGTCTTTCTGATTGGCGCCGCTCCTCTACTTAGGCTTTAAATCCACCAGCCATTATGACTCCTTTTGGACGTTGACAGCTTCTCATCCTTTGCATCATGCGAACTTCAGTCGATATATGAGTAGGTGGAGATTACGAATCGATGTCGCCTACCCTCATGATCCTTCGTAGTTCCTCATGAGTCTAGTTATTCTTTAAATTATGTCTGAGTTTAATGTTGATGCTACAAAGAAATCAACTTCCCCTAAATTCACCGAAGTGCGAGTTGATTTTCCAAACCCAATTCGGGGAGAACATTATGATACCATATGTAACAGCATTGTTTCGCTTCAGGTGTGAAACACCATTGAATTTCTCCATGAATAAACTCACCTTTTATCATACTTGAATTTTAAAAAATGATAGCGCATAATTCACGAGTTCAAATGGGGGAAATTTTAAAATGTATCCGCTCAAATAATTCTCGGTATGAGAGCTTCACAATAATATATTATGAAAATAAAATAGTTAAATGCTAAATATTGAGCGAATTCGGTTGCATAAAACTACACAAAGCAGGTTGAATGTTGCATCCGCAAGTAGAGAAAATGAGAGCCAAAACCAGTCAGTTACGAGTACCCTTCATGTGTCTGTCTGTGTTCTATCCCCTTGACATTCTGGTTAGATCCCTACACCTTAAGACGTACGCTTCCTAAATATTTTGTTGAACACAAATGATTGTGTTGTGTGGGCTAGCCATTCAATTTCTTCTTCTCTCCGAGTCAGCTGATGATTCTAAGATCAACTCGCATGTGGTGATTCAGGGAGTAACATTAGTTAAGAACGGCATTAAACGCTTTCATTCAGTTCCTTAATTATAGGACGAAATAGGAAACCTGAAACAAGGTCAAGATCAGTGCAATCGGCCAAATCGTCAACTGTAGCATGTAACATTGACTTACGAAAGAATTATGCTATCTTTTTAGCTTTCGGATGAAATTTGATCAGTTATGTGAGATAAAAATCTGAATAATCTTGCTTCGTCGGTTTCACACAATCGGGTAAATTGAAAAAAATGGCTGTTAGCTTTTTCGTTAGACAATATATGTTTTTATATCAACTGGAGACTGGAGTAGACATGATCGTAGTCAGCTGATAATCAGAAACTTTGGCAATATTCATTCGATCCTCTACCAGCTGATCAATCTGGTTTACTTGATAACTCAATTCTTGTTTTGCTTCATTTATTTAACTACTAAACATTGAATTTCACATTAGATTAGTCTATTTTATATTGATAACGCAAAACTGTGATACGATATTATCAACTAGATGCCTTCAAGCATTGAATGCTGCCAAGAGAAAGGTGGATAGGGGAGTTAAAACTGGTTTTACTTAGTAAAGTAATACAAACCAACATCGAAACAAAATCGAAGGTAGAAAAAAAGAAAAAGAAATCGTATTTATTTCTATATGTCATGGTTTTTACGGATGAATACCCCTCTTTAAAAGAAACTTAAAAATATTGTTGACCTATCGAAAACATACAGCACTTCAAGTGAGATACACTTTTGGAGGAAAAAGTAAGACCAAAGTTAAAACAAGTTATAGTTAGAAAAATCATGTACAAAACGACTCGAAAACATACTGATGAATAGAAAAGTAGATTAGTTCACCGGATATTAGAACTTCTATACAATTCCTAGACACCATCCGTTCCGACACACTGTAAAATAAAATACAATAAATACATAAAACATATAGAAAAGGATATGATAAAGCATAGCTTAAAAATAGTCAAATTATCTGAGGTTAATCTGTTCTTCACTGCTGAGGTGTAACTCAAATACAAAAGAGGTCAGTTTTCTGCTATTCAACTAATAGACTACAATCTTATTCTGTTTATTTCAGAAATCAACAGGCATGTTAGTTATTCCCGGTGAAATAAACACAACTGGTACTGTAGTGGGTGCTGCTGATCACAATGGATATAAGTAGTATATGTTGAATGGGAGGCAGAAATTATATGCAATTACCAGCAATGGGTTAAGATTCTCTCCACAGAAACGCAAAACACAAGGTGTGGGCGTATGAAGAGTAAATCGAGATAGAAGTAGAAGAGGAAATGAAGCACATTGTGCAAATGACTCTTTGAGTAGAAAGTGTACGATATATCATCACTACTGTACCAGATGTCAATAATAAACATTCCTAGCTGCGTTTCAGTCTTGTCGCTTCCTACATTACTACTTCATAACATAACAAAAAAGTTGGATACCGTTTCCTGTAACTGCTCTATTGTCCAATAAAAATGATAGCTGATAGAGTGAGTTGATGATTACTAGCTTTAAAATTCACTTACTAACCACTGAAATGAAAAAATCTCTGAACTATATTGAATCGAAATCGAAATACACTCAGCAACCTTATGCATATTCTTGTAGTAGACAATAAGCTACACTTAATGTATGAGGGCTCGTTATACTGAAAGAAGCAAAAGACCGGTATGTAGGAAGGATCCTTACCCATTGCTGGTAATTCCCTATGATTTCTGTCACCCTCTCAACATATACTACCTATATCCATTCTTATCAGCAATGCCCATTGCAATACTACCTGGTTGCCCAAATCTTGGAACGTGGGGCAGGGTTCAAACCCATCACCCAATGGTTGACAGTCATCTACCTAAACCAATGGGCCACAGTTCTACTCCCAATTAGATATGCGGTTTCAGCACTTCAGCTATCATCAATCTAAATCAGTACTTAAATGAAGTAGAATTTATAAATAAGGTAGCATACTTACAATTTACACGAATTCTTAATTTCGAAATGATTTCATAAATTAAAAAAGACATTATCCAACTAAAATTAAAAACTGGTGGAGAACTATAGCGCGTTCTGCCTTAATGACCAACAATGTGAACAATCATGTTCTAAATTTCTTGACGATGCCTGTTTCGTCCCATCTTGGATTCGTCAGTGGAATGTACCTGAATCTCAGTGAACAGTGGTGCTCCTATTCAGATTAACATTCAGCTGTCAAGGATTTAAACGCAAGAGCGTTATTTACTAGGCTTCTGAGTCACAAGAGCCACAAAAAAACAACAAATCAAGTGTAAAATCACTTGTACAAGTGACTAAACGTAGTGAATTTAGATCATTTAAATGCTTGATAGATCTTCGAAGAATTGCAGTTGATTCAAAAAGGGAGTGGGAAGAACCAAACTGAATATTGCAGAAATGTGTATAGCCATATAGCTCCATCTGTTTGTACATTTTAATCGGCGACATCGCTATTGGTTTGGTATACGCATACACACATACATTTTCACTCACACAAACAACTTGCACAAATTTCTCAATACGTTATTATTATTTTTACCTTGGGTTCCTAGTGGAACATAAGGCTTCAGTAGAACGCCTCCAGTGCACTCTTCTCTCTGCAGTCTTCAAAACCTGGCACCACCACTGTCCACAAGCTTTCATTTCTTCCCCACATCATCTCAATGTCACCCTCGCATCGAAAACCCAAATCGTCGTTTCACCTTTGGATTCCACTCGACGGCCAGGCTTGGCGCGTGATATCCCCAGTTGGCCTTCTCAGTGTATGATTAATCCATCTCCACTTCCTTCTGCATATTTGTCGGGTGACAGGTTCTTGGTTGATTCGTTGCCAAAGTCCCTTGTTGCTTATTCCCTCTGACCATCTGATTTTTTCAGTATCAAGCCAGCGTAGGCGGCAGCTGTTGATGAATGTCTATAGTTTGTTGTAAATGTTTTTCGTGACACGCCAAGCTTCTGAGCCATACAGAAGCACTGACTTGGCATTGGTGTTAAAAATCTGGACCCTGTTCTTTGTTCTCAGTGCAGTAGATCTCCACACTGATTCCAGATTAGTGAAAGCTTGTCTTACTTTTCCGATCCTGGCTTTGACATCCTCGTCTGTGCCGCATGTAGTTGAAACCATGCTGCCTTGCCTAGGTAGAGGAAAAAGACTACTTCCTTTAGGTTTCTCTCGTTAATGGTGATTGGTGCTTGTTGTTCATGCTGTTGTTGGTTGGGCATCGTCATCATCTCTATCTTTTCTACGTTCACTTGAAGACTCGTTTTCGCTGCCCTGCCTCTTCTATCAACTTGTTAGTTTCGCCTGTGGATCTTCGAGTTTGTGCGACAAAACATTAGACATAAACCATCATCGGCGGCCAAATCCAAATCTTCTAGGCTCTTTTCATTGGTCCAACTAACGTATGCTGATCTTCTCTCTCCTCATGGTTTGCTGTATGATCCAGTTCACTGCAATCGGGAAGATCATGGGTGATAGTAGGCAGCCTTGTCTTACTTCTGTCTTCACACCAAAGGCGTCGCTGAGCTTTCCATTGTGGATCACATGGCATGTAGCATCACACAGCATTTAGCTGTTGAATGAGGTTGATAAAGACTAGTTGCACTCCGTAGTGCTGAAGCAACTGCCTGCCAAATTACTCCTCAGTCAACTCTGTCAAAGGCCTTTACAAAATCGATGAAGGTGAGGTAGAGAGTTGACTGTCATTATATACTCTGTTCTATGATGATGTGTAGCGTAGCGTTGCAATTTGATCCCCACATGATTTGTTCTTGCTGACGCCAGTCAGCGTGTTCCACTTGTAATTTTGAATCCAGCGCATGTCGTAGTCTCTTCAGGATGATGCGGCATATTTTGCTCGGAGTGGACAGCAGCATGATTCCGCGCCAGTTCTTGTAAAGGCTTATGTCTCCCTTCTTTGGGATTTTGACAAGGTAGCCCTTCTTCCCATCAATCAGCAGGTACCTTTCCTTCCTTCCGGTGTGAGCATGTCCGCTGGTGTCTCTGCGTTTGTTTTTAGTGCTTCTGAAGGAATTCCATCTGGTCCTGCTGCTTTCCCGGATTTCAGCAGTTTTATGGCATTCAGGACCAGTGTTGTTGTCGGTTCTCAGTACGTAACTACTACTAATAAACAAGTGACAGCAGATAAGTGTGAAACGTCTAAGCTAGTCTTTAAAATAAATGAACTGATGAATTTCGCAATGGAATCATAGAATATGAGGAATTTCAGTAACGCAGTTAACTGAAATTATAAAATCATCAACAAGTTAATCATGTTTTGTGATGGTTAGTAGATAAATCTACGATGTATTTATTATTCTGTTTAGTGTTCATCAGTAGAATGTATCTACATCGATGTTACCTCTTCCACAAAAACTTCAACTCACTACCCATTGTACTTCACATATCAATATTATTACTGAGTTAAAATAGTCAAGTGCAATAGGCAAACACAATATATTGAAGATCTATTCAAAGATAATTATGAAACACTTAGAAAACACCAGCAGTCCTGTTACGCAAGTGTTAGCTAGACGATACATGCTCGAAAAACAAATAGTTCTCGACATTAGTTGGTGAACTATTAAAAATTTTACAACACTGGATGGCTGTTTCGTTCTAGTTTGGGACTCGTCAGCAGTGTACACCCATGATCTTGCAAAGAATCAGACTTTATTTACTACAAGATGTAAACGACAATCACTTTCCAATGATCAACCAGTTATTGTCGAATGCCCACAAACTATATGGAAATAGCTATTCAAGTGAACCATGTTTCAAAACGATTAATTCGATTATTTTAACTCATGATGAACAATATCTATCAGAATATAAATTAACTTTTTAAATTATAACATATAAGAGTGAATGGAAATCTAACCATAAACTTTATGAAGTTATATATGCTTGAAAAATAAATAATACCATAACGAAACTCAGACTTCATGTATTACAAATTAACCACTATACTATTCAGTTATCTAGGTCAAAGTAACTGAAGAAAGAATTGGAGCTCCAGGCCTATGATTACTGGGAAACGTTCAGTGCTTAAGGTAAAGAATCATATATGTTCATGTTTTTTTTAGAATTTGCTCCAATCATAAATCATTAGTCAACTTAACGAGTAAGGATAATAAAAGTAGAAGATGTAATGTATCTGAAAAAAATGTGATACATTCACACCATACACTTCCAATAGTCTGATCATACATTTTGATTAGTTTTGGAGGATAGCCCACTTCAAGTGTAGCTAGTCATAAATGCTGATCAAATTCTATGGATCATTTCTCAGTATGGTCACCAAGTTAACGTCCATTGACCAATGTGCCAAATGCAGCCCGAATAGCTACAACTGCAGCATCAGGTCATGTGGGTTTGAATCTCAGGTTAGACATTAGTTCCATAGAGGTTGGAGATACACCTTCCTGACGAGTAACAAAAAACACGAAACCTAGGTCAAAGACTTTCAGCCGATTACCTTCATCCAAATAACATCGGTCAAAGTGATCATACATTTACTTGTTAAGACATTTTATTTAAAAAATGGAAACAAAAGAAGGACAAATAAAACAGTAAGCAATACACTGATCAGAAGAAAGGTGGTGAAGGGAGAATTAAAAGGTTCTGAAAGCAACCTTCATCATCATCAATATCAACATAGCACCAGGCATTACTGCGTAACCGTCCGACTTCCCACACCTCATATCACGACATCGAGTGAAAAGCCATGAAGTGGAAGATCAAGATAAGAAAATTCAGTCTATGATATATATAAAATACCAAAACAGAGAAAGGAAGAATGACAAAATGGTGAGATTCAACATAGCGTCGTTAACATGAAGATAATGTGTGTATACATCTGCACCACTGACATCATTTCTG